ACTTTCAGACCCCAGTGTTCAGCAGAGTAAAGAGAGATTGAAAATATTTCTGATGTGAAATTAAGAAAACATTTACATGGAGGGAGGAGGCCTGGGCTATTACTGCAAACACAGCAGGGGGCCAGGAAACATGACATGGAATCTATTCAGTAGTTTCAACTATTATGGCAGCTAATCCATCAGCAAGGATTTCAAAGTTAGTAGAAGACACTGCCAGTGGCAATTTAACTTACTTGGCTATTCTAAGGCCTGTTGCTTCTACCTAGTGTCCCAGCTGTCTTGTCCAAGAAGTATAGATTCCTTGGTCCCTAAGGTAATAACTGATAACTGTGCTGAAAATTACAGTGCTTTTGATTTCGTCAGGCATTGATACACATGCCATTAAAATGCAAAACACAAGCTTGGCAAACATTTCCTACATGCATGGAAGCAGCCACCTCAATTTCAAATGGTTAATTTCAAGTGGTTACCTGGGTTTATAATCTGGGTGTGAAATTTCATCTGCTCTGGGCAGTGTTCAATATTTAACATTTCTTGAAATGATTAATGCTTACTCCTGTTCAGATCAAGTTGTCCTAGCTAACTAACTCCTTTGTGGTTTGGAGATGTAAATTAATTTTAAACCTTGGAAATTTTCTCAATTTTTCTTTGCTTTATGGGAAAGTAGAATCTCATGTTTTAGTTTTACCATAGGGAGCAAGTAGCAAAGTCAAAGGTGGGATTATGTTTATTCATTCAACACCAGATACTTATTTATGATGGCTATTTTCCAGATCAGTCACGTATTCCATAGGTTTTTATTACATCTTTACTACACACAAAATGTTTTGGGGCCAGAGATGAATTATGCTAGGTTTAAAACTAGATAGAATATCTTTTAAATGGAAATATTCTTATCTCAAAACAAATCTTGGGATGTATGTAATATAGAATATGTTATGTCTATTTTCCATGGAAATAATGAAGTCCAGAGTTGACTCTTGGACCTGAGACTCACATTCACTTTGCTCTTCTTCCTTCCCTTTCTTAGCCTCATCAGCACCCTCACATACTCTCATTCCACCCCAGGACTGGTAGTACACATCAGAGATCCCAAATATCATTACAGGCTGAGAACCCACCGAATGGGGAAACTGAGTCATACTTGAAATTAACTTCTTTAAGAATAAATATTAAAAGCGTATACTTCAAACTGTCTAATTTCTTCTTCTTTGTTTCATCAGATATTTAATGTTTAGAATGTTAGCAAGTGTTCAAGCCATGGAATTTTGTGGGCTGATAAATATTTGTAAAGCATTTGGGTATTAATGTATGTTAAAACCAATCAAACATGGGTATCTCATTTTTCAGTCCAGGTGATTTTTTATTTTTTGCTTCCAATTTTTAGTCTTCCAACACTGTTAAGACATAGAACCAAGCAGATTTATAGCAATTCTGACAGCTGGTTGTTATACACTCATTTCATATGACACTTTGTTCAATAAGACTGTATTTCCCCAAAGTTGACTCTTAGCATGTCTTTTATGTTATAAAATACTTCTTTTGTTCTGTTGGTGTAGGTTGGCTTATAAAAGTAAAGTGTTGTGTCTTCACATGCTTTTAAAGTACCTGACTTAAAAAAATGATTTATTTTCCAGCAGCTAGGCAAAATTCCTTAACTATTAACCTTTGATATTTAAAACAATGTTAAAATAGCTTTTAAAACAAGACACTGTGAAATGATATAAATCTAGTCTTTTCCAAGTTAATTTTTAAATTCTAAAGGGCCACATATTCCTGTATCATCCAAGTTTATAAAAAATGGTGGCTATCAAATTTGATATAAAAACAAAATGCCTCATATCCTTTGTGTAAGGCACAGTATAAAATTAGAATATAATTTTCTTTCTTCTTCAATCTTCCCTATTTGTAATATTTCCCCCAAACAGAGATGCTTGACAAATTGTCCCTTTTGCTCATATATGACCATTTTTTTTGCATCAAATACATTTACTTTTGTAGGCTAAATAATCAGGATGAGAGTAGAAGAGATTTTTTAAAGCACTGACTTATAAAGAATTAGGAGGCATCTTGAACAAATATATTTCATTGCCATCAATCTCATTCTAGCTAGCTAACAGGCCATGCTTTTACTTGTTTCCCTGTATGATAATCTTATACTTCAATAGTGCTTTTAATACATAATCCGTCTTCACTATCAGAGCCTCACAACAATCTTTAGAAAAAAAGAGGGGTAATTATGCCTGTATCTATAAATAAGTAAAGTCTCATATGTATGTACATACACATTTGTATGCACATGTAATACAGTATACATATGTTTCTCCCTGAGATGAGAAGATGGAAATTGTTACACAGAAGTCTCGTAGGTTAGTTGGTAAGAGGAGGCAATGTTAGAAGGAGAGAATTTCTGGCTTGTGGACCAAGCATTCCCCATTGCTCTGGTTTGAATAACGTTAATACATTCTACTTTTTATATACATAGGAATTCAAAGTTGGTGCTACTGATGTTGGTTAGCTTGGTGGAGGAGATTTACAGGCACAGAATAAAGGGTCAGTCTGTAGAGATATGTTGATAAGGCTCAAGGATCAGCTAGGTGGTTGAACCAGCTATCCTTTAAGGTTTTTCACTGCTCCCAAGCCTAGCAATTTGAGAGGTGATTGGCAGTGAATTAAGAATAAAGTATGTAACAGTTCTCCTGGACAAAGCTGGTTTTTATTGTTTCTTTTTTTGGCTTAGCCATAGGAACAATGGCTTTCACAAGTTAGGCAATCAAAAAGTAAAATTCCAGTGTAAGCTACTTTAGGTATCAGTCATGGAGTAATAAATCTTTGGGGGAGTTAACTATAAATTCAGTGTTAATGCTGGTGTATTGCAGGGTGCAACAGATAATTCCAATGAGTTGTCTTAGATAAAATGTTTGAGCTAAGTAAAGCAATCCAGAAGCAAATTCTGTACAGTGAAATTACCCTTTATTTTGTAAGATCATGCTAATATCAAGTAATATCTATATTATGTACATTTCCTACTTTAGATGCTTTGTCTTTAATGATGCTTTTCAATGAGTATAGTAACTAATAATCATTAAAAATTGATTACAGCATTGAGCAAGTGATAGTACATCCACTGTACAAAATCATAGGCTTATGATACCACCAAGTAGACAAAAATTTTGCAAACCAAAGGTGAGTCAAAGAAAGTAACCCTTTAGACTGACTAGAGAGACAGAGTCAGGGGTCTCCCCTTCCTCAGTTCTTGCCTTGCTTCCCAAGAGAAGTCAGGTGTAAGGCAGCATGTATAATGGAAATGAGATGTTTATCTATAAAATACACTTAAGCACAAAACCACAGTCAGGTGCCCTCTGGTCCAAATGGCCCATGTATCAAGGAAATAAAGTTGTTAATAAGTTTGAGCCCAAAGCTGCAAGTGGACACCTGGCTAATCTGAGTGCTTTGACTATCAGCGGTTAAGAGTTTATATACTTTAGTCGGTTTCTAGATATCCCTCCTCCTCTCCCTTCCAGATCTTGGGATTAATAAACAGTTTCAAAGGCTTTCTTTCCCAACTAGTGTAAAGATACATATAGAACTTCAAAGGCTCCTCTCCTCCTGTGCTGCCATAGTTTTACTTGTGTGATGTTAAGAACACCTGGCAATTTTATTGGACCAGGTTTAGGTTTGCTGAGTTAATGGGTGAGACAAATCTTCCTCCCCCTCCCTGCATTGGTTTACTATCTGTCCTACCTAGTAAGACTAGAAATCTACCGCATTGTAATTTTTAGTTTCACTTTTGAAATTTAAAAGTGACCTTGATGAATAAAATCTCAATGCTTCCTAAAATAAATCTAGAAAGTTGTCCAGAATTTTTCGGTTTGCAAGCTGACGCTCAATTCACGGAGCTACAAAACACAGGACAAAAGGCAACCTAGTTCACCTATTTGGGTTGTTGAGCATATGGTCAGCATGCACACTGGAATATGTTACAGGGCTTGAGATAAAGGTCAAATTTTTAAATGGGTGTAAGTGTTGATGGAGAAAACTACCTCTAGCATATAAGAGAGAGCTTTGTCTTTAGTGGTCTCTTGAGTTCTTAGGAGGGTGCACTCAAACCCAGAGGGTGCGGCAAACCCTGCCCTCTAGTGGCTGTGGGTATGAGAGGACTTCGGTTCTATCTTTCCTGTGTCTGTCTGGTTTACCAAGGTTTATTAAAAATCAACGTTAACCAAAAATCACTTATTGGGAGTCTGGGTTAGGTACTAAGTATGTGAAAGGTTCAAACGGCAAAAGAAATGGCCAGCGGCTGCAGGCAATGCCCATTGTTCAGCTTCCATCTCTGGACGCTTGGTTTCTAAGTTGTTCCAATCCCTGGGGTTTCACACATTTTAAATCAATGAAAAAGGCTGAATCCTCCCTTGAGACCTTTGGGGTTGATCTCTGCTCTCTATTATAGACACAATGAAGCAGACCCCAAATCGGGATAGAAGTTTGGGAAGTCGCCCCGCGATGACCTGATCCGCAGTTAGAACGAAGCAACCCTAACAGAGTTCTGCAAAATGAGGGTGCGAGGTCCCAGTAACAGCACTAGTGCCTCTCACCGCTCACCCCTTCCCTCGGCCGTCCCCGAGTCACCTACAGAGACTGTAACCGCCACCCTAAGGGAGGGGTTTCCCCGGTAGCCTTGTTGAGGGCAAAAAACCTCGAAGACAGCGACCCTGGCAATGCCTGCCCGCCGGTCCGACCCCGCGGTTGCCTTCTGAGAGTGTGTGGCTGGCGCGGAGGAGCCAGCGGGTCTCCGACCCTCCTGCCCGGTCGGTACGTAGAAACGGGCAGACCGTCCCCGCGGGCCCGCGAGGAGCGCCACAGGGACCTCGTGCACTTCTACTAGACCCCTCTGCACCCAACCAGAGACCACTCAGCGCTGGGGGCTAGGTCTTCACTTCCGCCGTCTCCGCCTGGGCCTGCGAGTGCGCGTGCGCGCGCGCCTCTCGCAGCGGAAGTAGTAGCGACAAAGCTCGGTCCGCTGTGGCCCGGGAGTGCGGGGCTCGCCGGGGTGCCGGGCGGCAGGCGGCGGGGAGGGGCAGAGCGCAGGAGGCGGTGGCGGGAGCAGAGCAGCGCGGCCGCGCCGAGCGGGCCGGGCCGACCGTGAAGGGCCCCTCACCTCCTCTTTCTTTCCCCTCCCCGTCCGCCCGCTCTCCCTCCCTTCCTCCCTCCCGTCGTTATTTCCTCACGCCGGGATCAAGCTCTCGCCTTGCGCCTCCGATCGGCGAGCCGTTCCTCTTTGCCCGAGGCGCGCGGGGCGCCCCGGCGAGCCCCGCGGGTGAGTCTCCCGTAGCCCGGAGGAAGGGGGTCTGGGGCTTTGGGAGTGCACCACTATTACCCATTTCCAGAAACTTCCAGGTCCTGACGGACGGGGCGTCCGGGGATACCCTGGTTGGGTGGGGTGTCTTTGGGCGCCGCCCTGCCAGCTTGAGTTGGCGGTGATGCGGGCGACCGAGGGGGTGGGCGCGGGGTCTGGGGGCTCCCTCCTCGCCCTCTCGCTCGTCAGCGCCGCTTCTCTTGGTTTCTCTTGCAGATGCTGCTGCTTGGGGTGGTGGGAGCAGCCGTGGGACGCGTGGCCGGGAGCGGGGGTGACAGCCTGGGATTCCGGGGGCTTCTCTTCCTTGTCTTCCTCCTCTCTGTATTCCCAGTGTGGCCGTGGCTGACACTAAAGACTTTGTAGCCACCAACCAAGTGCAGTTTCAATGGAAAATGAAGGTAAAGGCCCCTGGCAGATGGGTTGCAACACGGAGTTGAGGGTGTGGTGGTTTGCTTTTAAGTTGTCTTTCTTTCCCTTCCTTTTTATTTTCCTGATTTTATTTTTTCGGTTCATTGTGAAGTGTCCAAAGAATTGCTTTCTTAGGATCTCTAAATTTTATTTTGGTAACATAGGGTATTTCGGAAAATAAGGTTCTGTGAGGTGACTGAGCTTGATTCTGCTTTCCTGACAAACCTTTAGTTTAGGGACGGCAGGGAAGTTTTCATTTCAGATTGAACCTGTGCTTATTTTAGTCGCTATTTGAAAGTAATTATTAGAAAGACAGTGGGAATGGGGAGGGAGGAGAAAGGCTGCATCTCTGTATATTTGCATATCAAGCCTTGATACGGTATGTGACTGGATTCGTTTATAAGAAAGGAAACGTCCTTTTAAAAAAAATGAAATGCAGCTTTAAGGAAAAAATTCACTTTTTTCAGTACATACACACGCAAAAAATTATGAATTAACGAAATATTATGAGGTGATTTCCTTTTGAAGTTCCTCCCCATTTCGAAACATCATTAGGAGGTTGACAGTGGAACCTGTTTGTTCACTGTTCACTTTGGACACACTGGATTATCATTCACGTGTTACTTAATTACTTCGGCCTGATGTAAACGTTTAATGCTTTTCATACACAGCACTGATTATTTTTTAAAAGCGTTGAAAACTGAAGAAATGATTTTTTTACCCTCCTCAAACAACCACAGTTGTGCTTTGGACTGACTTCTGACTTGTATGTGCTGTTACTGTGTTTTCTTCCTTCAGGTCTGCAAGATGCTATAAAAGATAACTACAAATTACAATTTGTCCTTTTGTATCTTTCGGTTTTAAAAATCTATACAGTATCTGGTAAAAAGTGCTGCAGTAGAGCTTACAGGCTGCTTTCTAATTTGTTTTTCCTTGATGAGAATGTAAGGGTGATTGTCCTAAGTAGGACTAGTGATTTTAAAATAGATGTTTCTTATATGTAGTGATCTGTTTTGCTGTCTGAGACTCCTGGGATATGTGGGAAATTGCCGAGTTCTACTTCGGGTGGGTAATTTGTGGGAGACGTTTTCTGAGACACTAACGTGTAACTGCAGAGGAGTTACACTGTCTAATTGGGTCTTTAGCAACGGCAATTTGAAAGCAGTGAGATTGTCTGGCAGTATGGAAAAATCACGTTTCTGAGGTCTTTTTCTCTTTGTCTTTTAGTTTCTAGATTTAAGAAAGGCACGTCCTTTCTGCACAAGAGACAAAGAATATTAGGTGCATTCATTCATATATCTGGTAATTGCATTGTAATATCTAAAACTTGAGCTGCCTTCAGAATGGCACAGACTGAAGAGAGTGGCCTAAAGTAGGTGACTTCTTAGATGTTGCCTTTATTGCTTGATCTCTTAGGGAAAGGAGCGTGACTAATAAAGCTCACTCTCATATGTCTTTTGATGTGGGAGGGAGGTGGGAGCGAGGTGTATGCTTGTGGCTGACTGGGCCTCTACTTTTTGGCCAAATAAGAGTGATTTGGCCTCATAATAAAAGATTGAGATTTTCAAACACTTGTGGGAGTTTTCTGCCTCATAATAATCAAGAGGCCATTTTTGTCAGTGTCTCATTATCGTAACATTTTTCTCTTTTCACACTTAAACATTTTGAAGAAGAACTATATAGTGTAGAAATTTTCAAAAGCAATTGACCATTTTGGGAGGTAAGTATTAATATCACTTACCTTTTTATAGTTAGTGTCCTCATTTGACATGGTGTATTAGCATCTTAGGGATGTGAAACAAAAATAGATTCAAATCATGCCTTTACCACTAGAAGTTGTGTGACTTCACCTTTCTGAATCTGTTTTCTTACCTAGTTTTTTTTTAATCCTCACCTGAGTACAATTTTTTTTCATTGCTTAGAGAGAGAGACAGACAGACAGACAGACAACAGACTGATAGACATTGATGTGAGAAACAGTGGTTGGCTGTCTTCTTGTATGAGCCCTGACCTGGTATTGAACCTGCAACGTAGGCATGTGCCTTGGCCAGGCATCAACTCCACGACCTTTCAGACTACAGGATGAAGCTCCAAACAACTGAGCCACAACGGCCAGGGCTGTTTTCTTATCTATCAATTGGGATTTATAATACTTGGCTTACATAGTTAAGAGGGTTAAGTGAGAAAGTCTATAAATTTCCTTGGGAGGAGAAGAAGACTAGTGTTAAAGAACATGGGCTGTGGAGTCAGGCATCCTGATATGGATGCTAGATCCCCACTTAACATAATTTAGCCTTGTGTAAATTATTAAAGCTTTTTGTGCTTCAGTTTCTTCTTCTATAAAATAAAGATATTGATCAAACCTACTTTTTGAGGTGGTTGTAAGCATTTATAAGTGTTTTGCATATATTAAGTGCTCAATGAATGTTAACTATAAATAGCCTAGCCCAGTGTTTGCATACTAATACACCACCAGTCATTAATGTTGCTGTTATGACAGCTGAATGCTAAAAGGGCTAACAGTAGTGGCCAAAATGCTCTCTGTGAAGTTGTCATTGTTAGTTAGGAACTGGGTGGAGTTAAGTACAGAATCTTCTATAGTGTCGTGGCTTAAAGCCCATAGAAAAAGTTGGAGGTCTACCAAGGGGGCCAATGTAGAAAGAGACAGGCTTGGATTTGATTCCTGACAAGTTATTTTGTCCTATCCTAAAAATGTGATGAGTTACCAAGCTTCTGAGCTTTCTCAGCTTCTGTTGTTTTTCCGTCTGTAAATAGAATAATGCCCTCTCGGAGAGCTGGTGTGAGTAATAAATGAAGCCTGGTATGTGAAGTGCCCAAAACATGGTTGACACACAGAACGTGTGAGTGAGTGAGTGCTGTTCCTCAGAAGCAAAATCCTCCAGTAGGTTTGTAGGTCGGTCACATTTGAGTTATGTACAGGGCAGAATTGATAGTGGCTCCCAGGAGCATGAAAGTTCTTAGGTAGTTTGCTATGTCTACAGTTGTTGGAGGGAATGACATTTATGTGGATCCTTTCCAGCAGCTGTGGTCATTTTCTCTGGCACTTCAGTTTAGGTTCTTCTGGACCTCTCTCCCATGACTTTATCAGCAAAGGTTGACAAATTTTTAGCCTTAGCCTCCAGGATGCTTCATGAATATAGTACTTCCTGCCAGTCACTGGAAGTATTTGAAGTGTTAATTTCCTGGAATTCTGGGACTGGTCCTAGACATCTCTTTGTGGGTTAGGATTTTATCCACATCCTTTGGAACTCCTTTTTGCTTGTTTATTGCAAATCTAAACAGATACCACTTAGGAATCTGAAATATTCAAGCAAAGGCTTGATATTTTTTTTCCTGGTAAAAAAGTTGTGTGTGTAAAGGGATGGCTTATTAGAAAAAATATTTTTAGCTGGATAATTTTGCAAATAGTTTCTCTTTTCCAGTAATGGATGTTTCTGTTGGAATAAATTGGCCTTTCCCATTGAAAAACCAGTATAAAATTAATGCACATTAAACTATTTAATAATAGTCATTAATGTTTCTTTCACTAATGGGTAAACATGTAATGATCTTCAAGATTTCAGGACATGCTTGATTTAAGGTTATAGGCAGAGCTAATAGGTCTAGAATAAATTTCCCCAATTTCTTTGGCCAGCATTTAAAAATGATAGTATGTTTATTTACACTTTACTTTTTAAAATAGTTACTTATTCAAGTTCAAATTATTAATCATTTAGGAATGTTTCAGGAATGTGTTAAGGGTAGTTAGAAGAAGTATAAGGAAAAAAATGGATGAGAAATTGCCTTAATTGTATTTCTTCAAGTAGGAATAGGAAACCAGGTTATAACAGTATTTTATATTTTTAGGTATGGAAAATGTAATTTATTTATTTGCCATTTTTGTCAGCAAAATAGCATTCTTAATCACTTTCTAGAAAAAAAGTTGAAACTAAAAGATTATGTGTGTGGCAGTGTTGTATAAATGTAGTAATTTAACACAGAGGAAGTAAGCTGCCGAGATTATTTGTGAGCAATAGCCTTCTGACTGTTGAATCCAAAATACTTGATCTGTCTTAATGTTTTTATCCTCCATTTAATGTCAGCAGAATTCCATTCTATTAACGGAAGCAGTATCAATCAAAATGGTCTCCTAGGGAACACACCCCTGGGGCCCAAGGCTGATTTTCTTTTGAGATCTTGGTTAACTACAATCTGTTTGACAAGGTTAAATTTTGCTTAAAACTTGAAAGAACAGCATAGGTTGATGGTAAAATTAGTTCAGACGAATTTTAAATTACCCTGTGGTTACATATAACATCTTGAAGATCTCTTAAGGATTAGTTCAGAGGGTCCACTTGTATTTACTTGTTAAAAGACAAAATTTTTTAATAAAGACTTCAGACATCAGTTATGACAACATTATCTTTACCATTTTCTTACGGACAAATGTTGGTGAAAGGCAGTAAAGTAAAATTTGGTTGGGTGAGTTTGGATTAATGCTCTCATTTCCTACAGGAAATTATTTCTTGGAAAAAATATATGTCAGACTAAATTAATGCATTTCCTCTTGAATTTATATGGCTGATATTTATATGTATTTGTTTATGTCTTCCATCTTCAAGGCTTTCTTTATGTGACTGTTGACAAAGGCATACATTGTAGAATTACAAGGAAATTACTCAAATTGTGTTGAATTAGATTAGTTTAGGCTAGGCTTATTTGATATATGTATTTAGAAAAAATTTGGGTGCAATGTTACAAGTCTTTCTTAAGATGTAGACAGAGAAGTACAGTAATAGCAAGGGTCAAAAGCATCACCTTTAGATAGCTGTAATTGGGCATCAAATTCAAGTTTGATTTCTGCTTCAGATATTAGAATATGTGAATTGCAGTTATTTAATATAATGGAGTTATTTAATAACTTAATCTATCAGATGTTAAAGAATGTGTGAATTGGAACTGGAATTGTGTGAACTGGAATTAGTTAATT